TGATTTTGTCTTGTTTCTCTGCTCCTCTAGAACTCACCTTGATAATTTCCTATTACCAGTATTGTCACGGGTAGTGTAAGGGTAAATATAGAATCTCTTTGTGTGCCAGGCTGTTATATTAACATGTAGAAACAGATGCCAGACTAAAAACCGGAGCTAGAGTAAAAATGCAGTTTAGCTGAAGTACAAACCATCAAAAAAGAAGAAGAAGGATTCCAGCGTTTAGATCTGGTATCATCTAACTCAACCTTTCAAGAAGTCAGGAACTCCCACTAGCTGTTCACATTGCCACTGCAGCCAGAAAAAGAGATTCTGATAGATGGTATTCAGTCTCCCAAGGTGGGTGATATCATAAACCCATATGCATTTGTTGGACTCACCACCAACTCCTGAAACAACAAAAATACACCACTTTGCTGTGGTATCAGCACTATGAGGGTGCACATACCAGAGCTAAGAAAATCCAGGTTTTTAATAAGGCAGTGTAGGACCTCTGACAGAGAACATTTCCACAAGAGTAGTAGTCATCACTATTAGAGCTAACCTGTGATGGAAACTCGGAGCATACTCTCATCCCACAATTATTTTTTTTACCACATCTCTGCTCATTTGTGTCACAAAAATATGGAGATAAAAGAGTGCATTTTACACAATTTTCTTCTAAGAAACTGCAATTAGCAGACTGGCAAAGAGAGTGGAGATGCACACCAGGCAGGAAGCAGTACTAAAGATGAGGAAATGGTTTCAGCTTCTCTTTAGTATGAGAGTGGCACAAGGGGAAGGTTACTGCTCATTTCTGCAAAATCCAAATATAACATATTGATCAATTTCTGTAGATAAAAGGGAGGGTCAGATGCTTTAACACTGTATTGTCAGAAAATGAAATATCAAACTATCATTTACTCTCACCACTACACTTTCAAATTTTTTTTCCACTTTTTATGTCTAGAAGCGCACTTATGTGTGGGTTTCTGAATAAAAGTTAATTCCCAGAAACTAGATTAAAACCATGAATCTGGTAGAGAGGAGTCATAATAAATTACCTAGCAGTAAGGCTGACAGTGTATCTTCCTGTTCACAGTTAACAGGGATGGGCTACATCTGACCAAAGCAAGGCACTCGGTGTAGACCCCTACCTGAGCTAGTCTCACAAGGACCTTTGCAATCATGCTTTTTAGAGCATGATTCATCCAACTTATTTCATATTTTTACATTAGGGTGAAATTAATCATATTTTTCAGTGACTGATTTCTTTCTGTTGACTTGAAGAAGCTTGCAGTGACTAGTTCTCATTGTAGACGACCATATTTTATAACAGATTATATATCTGGATCCCAAAAAAATGAACATGACAGGGGAAAAAAAAAAAAGGCAGTTCTGAACAGGAGACAGAAGGATCACATTACATGTTTCTCAGTGCAAGGTTCTTAAATGGCATGTTTGTGACATTTACATCAACAGTCAATAAATAAAAAAAAGTTCCTCCTTTTTTTTAACCTCAAGGAAAGTCTGAAACCAGATTTTTTAGTCATAAATCATGACTGACTTCCAAACCCATGAGAAATTTCATTTTCTATCTAAGGTAGTGGGAAACCACAGATGGAGTTGAAAGGTCAAGAACTGCAGCAATCTACTTCAGGAGACATTCTATTTATTTACAGATTTGTACTGGCTCCAACTCCTGGAAATGGAAAGTAAATCCAATGAAGCAAATTTGGAAGTGATTCACACTTCTATCTGGGAAACACTTGCTATGCTTCTGGTTACCACCATGTATGAACTGGCATATTTAGCAGTGAATGCTGTAACAACAATACTCTCCAATCTATCAATTCTATATGATATGAGGCAAAGAGCAGCACTGTAGGAAGGGAATCCCAGGCTCACCCCCATGGTACAACTCTTACCAAACCACAACAGCACCCAGATTTGCACATTTACACTGTGCAGAAGCATCTGTAAGGACCAATACAGAGAAGACTCCCAAGCTCCCTGACTGCCATCCACTGTCCTGACCTGAATGGAGAAAAGCCTGTTGTGAAACCCACACCAAAAGCTAGATCAAGCTTGGTGGAGATAGACCACAGAATCATTTAACTTTGACAAGACCTCCAAGATCACTGAGTCCAGCCATTAACCCAGCACTGCAAAGTCAATCACTAAGCCATAGCCATGAGTACAACATCCACACATTTTTGAACACTTTGAGAAACGGTGTTTCTCATCCCTGAGCAGCCTGTTCCAATGGCTCACAATCTTTCAGTGAATAAATTTTCCCTAATGCCCAATCTAAACCTCTCCCGACCATTTCTTCTTGTCCTGAAACTTGTTACTTGGAGAACAGACTGACCCCCACCTCATTACAAGTTCCTTTCAGGCAGTTGTAGAGAGTGAGAAGATCTCCCCTGAGCCTCATATTTTCCAGATGTACCATCATGCACCTATGTACATCTGTAGTGGAAGAAGACACCATGAGAACAAAGGTGCAGCTGCATGGTGCAGTGTGTATCCCTCATGAAGGCCTGCTTCTCCTCATTTCAATTCCTCAGTATCAGTGTGCCTCAGGAAGCAAAAGCACATCTCACTCAACACACAGGGCAAAACCATTAACGTGTAATATTTCATAAAAATAAAAACAATGCATTTGAGCAGAATTTTGCTGAAAGCACAGACTTGCTTGCAGTTTAGCCTACTCATATATCAGGATGAATTTGGCCCAGTTTATATCCTAATGATTATAATGGATGCTGCAGTCATCTTTTCATTAAGGCAGCAGCCAAAAATATTGATTTGTTGTACTTCACACTCCTGCTTACCTTCACAAATTTCAGGAGAGATGGTACATAAGCCAATAGAGTTGGTCAGTTTAAAAGTGACAAATGAACTGCACTGAAAGTAAATAAACAGCTATCTCTTTATAAATTAATTCAATATGTGACTTAAGCCTTTTTCTACAGCTAGAAAGCTGATTCATCATTCAGCAGCATTTAAGTTGCCACCAGTTCAATAGCAGAGTATTAATGTTGCATTTTATTTGACACAGAAGGTCAAATCCTGCATTCAGCCTACAACAGAATGACCCAGAGTAACCCTGAAGCCCTGCCCTCCACATCGCCCTGGCTGAAGCTCAGCACGCAAAGTGTTCTTCAAATTGCTTTCAAGAAGTCTTACATGACATTGAACATTTGGGAAAATCAGAAACAAGAATCCCAAATCTTCTGATCTGCTGGATTATCTTCTAGATTATCTTCTGGAATGATTTAAGTGAAATCGCACAGGTTGGCTCATTTTCACTTAACACTTATGAAAGAGTGAAAGGCAGAAAAAATCTTTGCATCTTGGGAGATTTGGGGCTTTTTTGCCTTCACAAAACATATTTCAATTTTAGAAAGAAAGTAAGTATATTTAATGTGGAACAGTGAGTACAATTTCCATTCCCGTTAAAACATGATTTGTGCTTTACTGAACAAAGGACCCAACTTATTTTAGACCATCGCCTCTACTAGGGTAGACACAGGGTAAAAAACTGGATCTTTCACTTATGAGTGAGTTACATTCAGTGAGTAAACTCTAACAGCTCTTTTAAGTTCAATAAATGTCAAATGCTGAGATTTTTGTATCAATATTGCAGCATTGGCACCAACCTCCCAATGCTTTATAAAGAACCCATTGAGATGAAGTCGATACTACTCAATAAATAGGTAGGATGACATTTTCAAATGCAGGACCTTAGTATTTAAACACATGTCCAAATGTCTAAATAATGTTGCCTGAATGCCTTCCGCTACTATCAGCACTATAAGATATGTGAGTTTCTAACATTTCTGGAAATTACACTAGGTGCCCTCTTGACTTCTGACACTCAAGTCTGATGTTTCTGGACATAAGGTTTTGACTGCAATCATCTGTGTACAGCTGTAGCCGCAAGGCTGTAGCAAAAATAGAATAAAAATATTTTTCTCTGCTTATACTATGAGAGCCTCAGCATTTGTGATGTCGTCTGTTTTTCATAATGTTCAGTTTAGAAAGTTGACATTTGATTAAACAGTTTGAATTTGCCAAAACATACATTTTAATCTTATGTTTAATACCACATTCTCAATTAAAAGCTTCAGAAGAAGACATACAAACCACAGTAAATCCACAGACCTAACATATTTAATATAATTTCTGAAACTGTTGACTAATATTTTCTAATTTCCGCACTACTTCTAGTGGTGCACAGCTGCACCATTACTCCCAACAACCATCAGACATTTAAACAGCCAGTTTTTAAGTGTTTTACTAAACACACTTTTGTATTTAGTATTTTGAACATTTTCCAGTAGGGTGGCATAGTAATAAAGTTCAGCATCTGAAGAACCTTCGCTATATTAACAATGCTTTCTAACACCAATATTTATAATACTACTGGCACCAAAGGAAAATTACCAAAGGTCATTTACAGCTATGAACACTTCCCTGGATTTCTACCTTTTACATAAGCACACCAACACTGATAAACACAAGAAAGTGTATTACACAGGATGGTGTGTCATTCCAGAATAACTCGCATGAAAAATGACTCCCCGCAACAAGAACAAGGCCACAAATAGGTTTTAAGACAAAATCATCTTTCTTTCATGCTCCTTATTTCCTTTCATTTGGTTTAACACTGCATTCAAAGTCATGAGTATTTTGACTTTGTGGAGGTGGCCTGAGTAATTTACAGTGATGAACAGATAATGCAGTAACTGTAAGCAAGTCATTCTGTTACTATCACTGCCTTCTAAATGGAGCCCTCACATAGCTGCTGAAAAGAAATGTGTATAATTCCATATCCACAGTGTGATGAATGCAACCAGGTAATTAAATCATCTCATTGCTGTGCCGGGAAAATACTTATGATTTTACCTTGCCTGTTAAGAAGAACCTAATTTCTCATTAAGGGTAGAACAATTATTCCTCCGTTTTGCTTTTGAAAAAACCTCTATGAAGGAGAAATCAGAAACAAAACTCACCAGTTTCTTCATCAATGCTGAATCTCCCCAGGCCACTGCCATCCCTGATGGAATACTGGATCTCCCCATCTCTTCCAGAGTCCTCATCTCGAGCAACAACTTGCAAAACACTAGTACCAATGCGGGAGTTTTCCTTTACAGATCCAATGACAGCAAAGTCAGGAAAATAAGGGGTATAAAGATTTTCGTTAACATCCACCACTTCAACTTCCACGAAAGAAAGAGAAGAGAGAGAAACTGGGCGCCCCTTGTCCTTGGCACGCACAGTCAGGTTGTAGAACTGCTGCTTCTCGTAGTCGAGCTCCTTGTTCAGGCGGATGGCGCCGCTGGCCTTGTCGATCTCAAACCGCCCGTTGTAATCGTTCACCAGTGAGTAGCGGACTTGGCCTCCCAAGCCCAGGTCCGGATCGTGAGTTTCCAACCAAGCTATGACAGTGCCAACTGGCAAGTCCTCAAGGACCTTCACATTGTAGCTGGATGGGATAAAGGCTGGAGAGCAATCGTTAACGTCATCCAAAAACACCTTGAGAGGCACAACGGAAAACTGCTGATGGCCGCTCTCTGCTCTGTCCCTAGCCTCAATCTTCAGTGTGTAGTTCGCTTTTGCTTCCCGGTCTAGTTGATCTGCAACATACACCACTCCTGTGGAACTGTTGATAGCAAATTGATGGGTGTCTGTCAGAACTGAGTAAGTCACTTCACCATTAGATCCTAGGTCTTTATCTCTGGCTTCTACCTGGATAATCTCTGTACCAAGACTTGTACTTTCTAAAATATTAACCGAGTAACTGTCCTGTAGAAAAACAGGCTTGTTATCATTAGCGTCCTCCACAGTGACAGTCAGCAGTCTCCATGCAGATTTCTGTGGATTACCTAAATCATAAATTGTAATATTAAGGAGATAGAGCTCGGTTTTTTCACGGTCCAAGGGCATGAGAACACTAAGTATCCCCATCTCCATGTCAATGTTGAAACAACTATCTACATTACCATCGGAAATTGTATAAAGTACTCTTCCATTAAAGCCTGAGTCAGCATCATAGGCTTTTATCCTGAGGATGGTGGCACCAACTGGCAGATCTTCTGAAACCTTCACATCAGTAGGAAAGGATTTGTCGAAATGAGGTGCCTGCCTGTTGACCGAATAAAAATCAAGAAAACCATCTTCCAAATTCAGCTTCACATTTGCTTTTGCCTTTTTGAGCAATTTTTCTGCTAGCTTCTGAGCAACTCTAGTTTCTCTACAGCTAAAGGTCTTTGAAGACACTTTCCCATGAACTACTGAAATATTAACAAACATAGCATCAGCAAAGTTCTCTCCATCAGTTGCTGTTATCTTAAGGCCAAAATTGCTATTCTTTATGCCAGAGTTAACAAGAGATTTTTTAAGTTGCAGGACACCAGAGTCTGGACTTAAATAAAAAAGGCCAAGTTCATTTCCAGAGATTATTTTGTACTTCACAAGCTCTAACTCATCTATGTCTATTGCAGAAACAGCAGTGATGTGACCACCAACAGGAAAATCAGATGAAATCACTCCCTGACAGGCCACTTTTTCAAAGAGGGGCTTGTTGTCATTGACATTGCCTATGTATATGGTGACATTCACCTCACTTTCGTGGCGATAGGGAGAACCCCAGTCAGATGCTCTCACAATGAACCTGTAACTTTCTGGTGAGGACTCAAAATCCAGTTCTTCAGATGTGCTGATGACACCTGTAAACTGGTTTATTGTAAATGGCAGTGAGTTCAGACTGGCAATACTGTATGTGATGTATCCGTTCTCTCCCCTGTCTTCATCAACTGCTGACACTGCCAAAACGCTGGACCCCACTGGGACACTTTCATTGACAAATGAGCTGTAGGAGAGCTGCTGGAACTCCGGAGTGTGATCGTTGGCATCCTCTAACCTGACAGTAACCCGTGCTTTTAAATCACCACCTTTGTTTGCATATACTTCTAATTCATAGAGGTCCTTCTCAATGATTTTCAAAGGACGAGCAGTAGTAATAAGGCCTGTGTTGGGATTGATTTTAAAATACTCAGCTTCCTCACTTGGAGATATTCTGTATTCCACACCCTGTGGCTCAGGGATCAGCTTAACTACTGCAACCACCACACCAGGAGGTGAAAATTCACTGATGAAAATATCATATGCCTCCTTTTCAAACTTCAGGGGAATACTTTCTTTCTTGGGACTAGCAATGTGGACCAGTTTGACCGCAGAAAATTTCTGAGGAGATCCTTTGTCCTTAGCTTGGAGAGTGAGGTTGTAACCATAAGGGAAGCTGTCCCAATCAATAGGCTTTCTTTCCTTGATTTTGTACTCATTCATCCATTTGCCTTCTTTAGTCAGAAAGAATTGTTCTAGAGGATCTCCAGCAACAATAGAAACAGATTCTATTTCTCCATTGGCTCCTTCATCTAGATCATCAACATTAACAACTGCATAAGTAGGTTCCTTGTCTGATGGGAAGGGAATGTGAGTTACTACACTTATTGTGGGGGCATGTTCATTTATACGTTCAATGTGAACATAAAGCTTGGCAGTGCTGCTTACGCCATTGTTTCCATACAGCTTCATCCCACGGTCCACTGCCAGAATCTCAAGGTCGTATCTGTTTTTCTCATCATAATTTAACCGGCCACTTAAGGAGATAACACCACTTGTAGGATGAACTGAGAAGAGATCAACTTTACCTTTAAAGTAATAATAAAATTCACCATTGGACCCAATATCCGCATCTGTTGCGGTCACCTGTGCAATGCTAGTCCTTAAGGGAGTGCTTTCTGCTATTGTGACAGAATATGTGGTTGGTGAAAACAAAGGTCTTAGGTCATTCATATCCAAAACCTGAATGTTCACTTTTGTCCATGTTTCCAAGTCCTCTCCTCTGACAGACCCTTTTACCATCAATAAATAGTTGTCCTGGATTTCTCTGTTCAATATCGCAGAATTCCCCCCTTTAGTCCTTATTCTGAGGAAGCAGAAGTCAGCAATGATGACTTCCTCTGCTTTAAAAAAGCCCTCATCATCACCAGACACTATTTTGTACTTGATATCCCAGGAAAGGTCAGCCATGGTAATGCCCATCCTCGTCTGACTGTTGACATAGGTCCTGGCTGCGGAATTCTCGTATACTGTGGCATTGTAAGTGGAATGTGTGAAGTGAAAGCCAAGCGGGGCAGTCCCATGAGCCACCTGGCAAACCAAGGCCAGGAACTTGACAATCAGAAGGGCAAGGCATGACGGAGGTAGCCGTGAGCCTGACCAGCGGCCCATATTCACGTCCATCACATCATTCTTTCACCCTGTGACAGAGAAAACAGGAAATAGTTGATCAAGAGATTAAAAACTGTACTGTGAAGTGGCATGTCAAAATTACTTATTAAATTTCTAATAAAAGGTAAAATCTATGTAATATCAATTCACCACATCTTTAACAAAACAGAAAGGGAGCACACTACACACACACAATCGTACCAGCTCCGGGTATTTTCACACCTGTCTAAGTAGTATATATGCATGTCCACATACATATATATAAATAAAACTACATATATGTATGCATGCATACATTTTTAACATGGAAGACCTTACCACATCCACATACACATGCAAAGTCCAGAATAATAATCACAGTAAAAAAAAATTAAAATTCACTACACATATTTGTATAAATTTATATCGAAGGATGAACCACATAGAGAATTTTTTTTCTTATTTATCAGCAGCTCCAACTAAGCCAAAACTTGTTTGTTTTCAGAGCATACTGGAAAGCTCATCTTCTTTCCCAACATATGGAAGAGAGACGGGATTTTCATACGTATGTAGCACTGTCATAGTCAAATGTTACCTTTTTTTTCATGGTCAGTTAAGAATGATAAAATTTGAGTCACCAAGAACAAGTACAGTAAGAAATTAATTATGCAGTCATTTCTTTAAATACAAATACCTTCAGAAAAGGCCCAGTGCTTCACTTCAAGAATCTAAATTGTGAGGTTAAGCAGAGACAGAGTAAGTGGAGGCACTGGCTGAAGGTTGCTGGAGGGTACTGCAGACAGTGGGAGCCAAGTCCTGCTTATCTATCGCTTCCTTCTTGAAAGCAGAGGACAGGAGCCTGAGGAAACCAGGCAGGTGCTACCAAAAGGCAGTGGGAATAAGTATCTTTGTTACAGAGTACATGCAATGCTACTTGTGAAAATCATAAAAATCAATTTTAAAAGGAAACTATTGAAAGACCCACTGCACACACACATTGTTCTCATTGTCATTTAAAGCTACTTGAAAATGTAGTTTTCTCCAAGGTAGAACACGGGGAGGAAAAGGATAGGCAAAGTTATCAATGACACAGGTTAATTTAAACTTCCAACAAGATTTCAACTTCCCCAAGGAGATTTATAAATTGCATGCATGTTTTGGAATATGAATTCATATCAGTTATCACCTCCAATGTAATGGAGCGACTACTGCAGTTTCAGTACTAACAACAAACAATTCATCATTCTGATGTTGCAATGTCCACACACAACACTTAACTTCCTGATCCCACAGTCTATATCCCATTGTTTAATACACTGATCAATTTGGTCAGTTCTCCCAAGGGTTTGTCAAAGCACTCATCTTCCAATACACTTATTTTCACATACAGTTCTCCCCCTGCCTTTGCTTTCTTCTTATTTTCTTTTCTATTATATTAAAAAAAAAAAAAAAACAACCCAACTCTTTAAAAAGAGAATAAAAATCCAAGATTCTATCACCTTCTGGACCTGCATTCCCCAGTAGCCAGTGAATTTCGTTTGTGGCAGTTCTCTTTCTGAATACGCCCCCTCAATTACTGTGCACATAGCGTGCGAGTCCTGTGATTAACATCTGGTTCCATACAGTTCATACATCAAATAAGCACAATTCTCCAATATGCTTGGGGTACATGAGGGAACAGGTTGATGTCCAGAAGCCCCAGGATGGAATTCATCTACTTCATATAGGAACAATTATTTTATTGTTGTTATCATTTCATTCAGCTGAAAGACCAGCAGTGGCACCTTATTTTTCAGCACAACAAACATTCATCAATTTAATCCACCAGTATGAAAATATCAAAGTCCTTTATTTTCACAGGGCTTTATGGGATCACTTTTGAGTACTGAAACTAAAAGCTGTTGCTTCAGTCTAGTGTGGGAGATGATGCAAGTTGTATTTATATATATATATTTATATATATATATATGTATGTATATACACATACACATATATATATTTACACAACATACAATAAACTGAGGAAATTCAGCCAATGAAAATGAGAAATTCTGATGAGACACAACTCATGGGAAAATAAAGGGCTGGACCTCTTCTGTGACGTGCATTATTAAAATGATCAACAGACAATCACTGTATTGCTGCCTTTCATGAAGGGCACTTCAGCATCCTTTGTCTACACCACAATACCCATCTCTCCCCCTGCTAAGAGAGAAAATTTTTGCTGGCTTACAAAAGAGACTGATGTTATGTTTCATATGAGCATCTAGACTTCTTTCACCACAGTTCAGCAACTTCCTAGGAATTCATTTTCCCATTCTTTGAAGTAAGGAAATTAATTGCCTTATCCTATTTGTCTCATTCGACGGTCTAGTTTCTCCTGTCCATGCCATAGCCCAGCATGAGCTGGTTTCTCTCCATCTGTCAGAGTCATCAACATCAGGTTTTGAAGTCCAGCATAACTGGAAATCAGTTTTCCTGAGAATATAATTGCTACAAAAAAAATTATTTGAAACTTAACTTTCAGCCCTACCCAAGGTTGCAGACTGCCGTAGCAGACAGGCATCAAAGTAGGTATTTACAAAGCTCTGCAATTACGGGGACCTAATGAAAAAGTTGTGTATATCCTAGGCAATAAAACACGACAACCTTATGCTCCTATTCCATTTCTCTTACAGCTTTTAAAGAAAGCTAGGGCTAAGACCTGATCTCAAACACACTGCTGCAAACTCAGTCATGTCAATAGTCCACCAAGTTTTAGAGGTTCAGTGCAATCAGTATCAGTCCTGAAACACTAAATTCCACTTAGAAGCAGCATAGTTATATGTGTGTGTGTGCTACTGAAAGCATGTTTTAGCTCTGAGTACATATGTATAGACAGACACACAGATTATGTATTTTTAGGTAGAATTTAACGGTTGGCACTGGAAAAATTGGACCTGCACATCAGGCAGCACTTTCAGGGTTTGATTTCAACTCAAATGTGGTATGCAGAGTTGTAACAAGTTCCCCATTGAAGTATTTCATCTATCCATATATTTATATGGCTATCGCCACTATAGTATATGAAAGTCCCAATGGATGAGCTATTAAGCTGCCACTTGGGCAACCCAAGAATGTTTTATTCATTTACTGAATTCCTTTCTTCTGGTATATTTGTTTTTAAGAGTTCATAATACATACATACTTAACACACAGGAAATGTAATGAGATAGGTTACAGAAACAAAGTACAAAGCAACCCGCCGTAAATTAGGAGGCATTTCTTTAAAGGCACTACTTGTCAAAAAATGTTATGTTTAAAGTGGAGAGAAAGGTTGTGATTACTTTTGCTTGATTTTAAAATGTTTGGGCAGGAGCTACTAAAATAAAAATTCCCTAGTACTCCTCAGCATGGTTAGACTAAAGAGGAAAAAAAGGGGAAAAAAATAAAGGAAATGAAAAGGGAACAGGGGAAAAAAGAAAAGGTGAAAGATTTCTGAGGGAGGAAAACTGCTCTACAATAGCAGCAGAGACTTAAAGGAAACAACTCCCTTCTAACTACCCAACAAAGTGAAAAAACAACACAATATAGGAGTCCAGAATCTTTCCACTCTAGCTCTCATAAAATTCTCTGGCCTTGAAATGGGAAGGAAAAAATGGAAAAATAGAACAGTGTGTCTTGATTTTTAAAACTCTTTAAAATAAACTTGAAGATCATGGAGAACTCTATGATTTTAAACTCAATTCACCACTTGAGTAATATTCCTCTGCTCCTTGAACAAAGCTGGCTATGTGACCCAAACCTTGCAGAATAGGCTGGTGCCTATTCTGTAAGTGGCTGGTGCTCCTTAGAGGAATTGAGAGAAGTATGATCATCATTCCTTTATCTCATCTCAGCTCTGGCAACCTCCAGTCTGGGCTGCATCCAAACATAACACCTCACCAGACAGAAAAGGAAGACTGAAGTCCCAGGAACTGCCAGGATTCCTGCACACCAAAAATGTGGCTCTAACTCTTATGTGTAGATATGAAACAAGTGCTATCTGTTCCTTGGTTTGACTCCCTCTCCCTAGGCTAATTTTTCTAATTCCAAGGATCTCCACATCATAAAATACTCGAAAAAGAAAACAGTGCATATGTCTCTTGGGTAAACAAGAGCCAAAAGGTCTTTTATAGAATATAAGGAATATAGCAGGCAAATTTCTTCAGCAAACAGAAAGAATAAGCTTTTAGCAGGCAACAGAAGGGATAACAAAAGAGCCTTCTCTCTCCCTACTTTTCCTCCAAGCCCAGTTATACTCTGAGAGCATGCTTCCAGTTGGTCATTAGGCAAATTAATTCAGGCAATGTGACTACCTAACACAAAACAACCATTAAAGACTTTTTCACATGTCCTTTGAAGACAGAAGAAATTCATTTGTGTTTGAACTTCCAGCTTCAATGAAGGGCAAAGAACCTAGTGGAGTTCATATATAGGTCCTCTAGGCGATGAGAAGGAAAAAACAGTTTCTTGACTTCCAATAAATTTCTAAGAGTTGATGTATTGATGCACCTATGTGTATGGGGGGAAAAAAAGGGGGTCAAGAAATCTTGACTGAAAGGTTTTCATCTTAATTTGCATTTCTCTTGGTAAAGCTGGGAAATGACACATGTCTCCATACAAAGGACAGGATTGGAGACCTCATGGTATGGACAAATACTATAATTTGAAATTACTATTGCTTCCTTGAGAGAGTTGCTACAATTCTCTAAGCAGCTTTTCAGCAAAAACAGAACATCTGAAAATGTAAAGGTATTTTTGGGAAGCAGAAGAACAGTAACATTACATGCATATGAAGTCTAAGTAGTATGTAGAGAAGTCACACATCTGCTCCAGAACAGAAGCTCTTGATTTCTTTCGAAGTGACCTTAATCTTTCAAGGTAACTCTTGTCATTCAAACGTCAACATCAACAACAGCTAATCTATTCTCATGATCTAACCATCAATACACAAGGCATTAAACCTCTTCTCAGTGTTCTTTTCTTTCAACAACAGCAATTTGACTACACAAAAACTTCTGTATGACCA